CAAGGCAAAACGAAATTCGACGTAAACACAAGCACACGAAAAATCATCCGAACCTTCCGCCATTTTGGAAAACTGTTCAGGCGAGAGGCAATCTGGATCCAGTGTTTTCATTGGCCAAACATAACCACGTTTGGTAAATATCCTTGTGCTTGTGTTATGCCTGAGCGGTATTTCGTTTTCAATTGTTGCAACGCAAAAACCAGAAAAATTTTGATCCTTATACTTATGCTTGCGCTTGTGCTTTAGCCCGCGTCAAGGCAGTTTTCACGGTGAAAGAAGAATTATCGTGTTTACGCTTGTGCCTGCGTCGCTTGTAAAAACCAGGCTTTAACCAAAAGAGAAGCATGCGTACATCAATGCTAAACTGTTATCTACAATTTACACTGTACTTAGAAATCACCATTTCGTGCTGGTGACTTGATTAGACTGCACGATACCCTTATCTCAAACTTAGCAACGAAACATTACATGGCTTCATTAATTAACCCCGTCGTCTTAATTTGCTTTCTTTTTTACAGAATCCCTTCTTTCAGTTCTACAAGAAATCTCTTCAAACAGCCCAACAACCCAGGAAAATGCCAACTTGATAGAATTAACTGAGGAGCTTACAAGAACGAGTTTTGATTTCGTTGTGCCATTTTCCGCCGTGACATCATTTGGTCTAGAAGACCTTCGTGATAAAATCAAAGAGCTAACATAGATGGAGCATTCATAGGTTTCAATAAAATTAATTTACATATGTGGTATTCGTCAAAGAAAGAATAAAGCACGGCAGATCATTGCACATGTTTCATGGCCGTCCCCTCTTCCTCTTACCCTGGAGGTTTGAGGACTGGGCTTGCCTCGTGATGTTGTTTGAAGGCTTGCAGAGAGTGTGATGTGCCCCGTATCTATTATCTTGGCTGCTCAAACGAAGGAAAGTTATGGATCATCGAGGTTTCAAGCAACGGCTGCATCTATCTATATGATTGTAATGATGGTGGTGTGGTTCCGTCACACAGGCAGATCAAAGTTAAACAATCAACCTTGAACAAGATGACAACTTAAGTCATGAAGCCATTAGATAGTAAACGACGATGTTGCTCGCATGGCACAAATGGAAGGAGTGGCCATGGACAGCAACTGAGAAAGCTATTTTTTTTTCTTGCAACGACTGGTTTGAATGTATAAGTGGATCCAGAGAATGGGCCTTAGTGGGATCTATCAGCCGACTCGTGGAAGTAAACGTCACTTTTTCGGAGAATGAAAGAACGTTTGATCTCTTCCCGAGCCCAGTGTACATGTTTGGCATTGCAGTGGATGACAACAGATTCCTGTTTTATGTCACTAAACAGTGCAGTAAAAGTAGATGTCTTCTCAAGTTTAATTACGAGATCAATTTTGAAGGCATCAAGATGTTGCTTTTGAGGTCTTCTCTAACTTTCCTTGTAAACTAGAAGAGTGTGGAAGCAATGAACGGCAAATTTGGTGACTTTTCCTACATTTATCCGAGAACAATTTGATGTAATTTGTCATTGCTCAAGAATTAAACTGGATGCTTCCATTTGGATGTATGTGTTTTTTGACGATTGATTAACTTACTTGACACGTTTTAGCTTCCAGATGGGATTTGAACCCACCACCCTCCGTAATCTAGCCGGATGCTCTAACCACTGAGCTGCTGGAGACTCTATGATTAGTGAGCAAAGGTGAAATGTGGGTCTTTAACTGGAACCGCATCGCACGGTCACACAGCCAAATAATGACTTGGCACATCTGAACTCATAACTGCATCGCCAGTCACATGGAAGCATATTAAAGATGCTTCCACCCTCCAAAGTAATATAAGGAATATTTTCGCTGTTTATATTTGGAAATTATGCAAAAAAAGACGTCTACGTGACGAACAATTTTATACAGTTAACGTATTTCTTTTGCGCGACTAAGGTTTTCAGAATTTAATTTCCACCTTTTTTCGTACTTTTAATTTTGTTGGCTGGCGCGAAAATGTTGTTTGTCTTTTTTCCCACGAAATGTAATTCACGCGAAGCAATAAATTACGCCCCTCAAGAAAAGGAGGAGCAAGCTCCAACGAATGCTTGATGAATCATTATTATCTCAAAACAAGCGTCGTCAGAGATGTATGCCGGCCAGTCAACGTCAGCAGGTATCTTTTCAACAGTGACATGATGTACATGTTATAAGAGAAACGGCCTGGCCGTCACGTGACAAGAAACACTACCCCTAAATTTGACTGTATAAAATTGTCACTTTAATGGAAAGATTTATGCTGATATTTGCCTCATTAATATGAGCCTTTCAGCTCTGACAGAGCTTTTAAAATATGAATTCCAAATATTGAAACAGCTTGGCACTATCCAAAATTGTGCAAAGAATGTATGAGCCCAGAAATTATATCTATATTTTTTTAAGGCCAACATCTCCTTCAATATCACAATGAGCTAAAATTTCACCAATTTAAATTCAAATCTGACATGATACCTTATCCACTCAAAGTCGTGTACTAAACAGTGACGTCAGCGATCGCCCTAGGCTATAACACGACCTTTCGAAATCAACAGACAAAGTAATAAAAAGTTATTTCTAAAAGAAGGTAAACATTGCCTTTGAATCAGGATATGCCTTGTAGTGATTCTTGGCACATTAATACTGTCTTTAAATTGTTCGCACTGTACTTACAATTATGTTGAGGTAAATGATAACTTTTCTGTTGAAAATAAATTCACTGTGAAAAAAGCTATCGCGTGACAGCTGTGTTATAAATAGTGATATTAGGTTTTTTTTCTTTATTTTTTTTGTTTCCTTATCTTTTATTAGCGAATTCGAAGCACCTGCACGCGAAGGCTCCAGAAGTCCGAAATATTACCAAATAAAACTCCATAGAATCTTGTTAGCATCAAAAAGAAAAAAAAACGATGAAACATTAAAGAAGAGAAGCAAAGAAATAGTAAATAGTTCGAGAAATGAATCTCTACGTAGCAGGTGACATCTGATATTTTTAATTGCTTACGTTAACAGAAGTTCATTTGAAGGCAATTTTATTCCGAGAATTTTTTTTTTCAGCTATACTTAAACAGGCTATAAACAAGTATTTGGAAACAAGACTGCGAAGATTTTGACACCTATAGTCCTCTTCTCTTGGCGAATCCACCTTTTTAAATTAGCAAAGTTAACTAAAGAAATAGTTAATTCTTAGCTGAGAACGCTAGCTATTAGCTTCGGTAAATTTTGAACGACAAACATTAACAGCTTAATGAAACCTTCTTGGAGTCAATTAATAATTGAAGACGTGGTGGAAACAAAGAATGTTTTGAACTGGAAAAAATTGGACTGCAAAGCAAAGTTAACTAAAGAGATAGTTAATTCTCAGAGAACACTACCTATTGGCTTTTGTAAATTTTGAACGACAAATATCAACAACTTCTTGAAACTTTCTTGAAGTCAATTAATAATTGAAGACGTGGTGGAAACAAAGAATGTTTTGAACTGGAAAAAAAAATTGACTGCAAATGAAAATGCCTACACTTGTATATTACTGATGTTTAACGTTTATTACGAGTTTGTAAAGACAGAATTTTGAGTAGTTACGGACTTCTTTTTTTTTTTTTTCATGTACGGAAAGTATTATTTGCGCGTGTAAACGTCCCATGGACTTTTCTTTTTTTTTATCCCAGATTTCTAATTATGCAGAGGCCACACATCAAGCTTTTGTCTATGTCATAAATAGAGACTATCCATCCTTATTGGTACGGATGTTTAAACAATTTCTAATTGCCTTGGCAACGGGCTATTAGCTATTCCAGTGATGAACGACCACAAAACTTTTCCGTTTCGTCAGAATTATCCTGAAATGGAAAACAACTTTGGCCCTAAAAGCATCCTTACTGATCTGGAAGGTGACCGGGTGTCGCCACCTTACATAAGGATATCTTCTCTGCAAAACAAGACCGAAGAACAGATACTAGAAACAGAATTGGAAGACAACACTGGTGGCAGTGGTGTTTCTAGTCCCGTTGAAATGGCTCGAGACAAAAGTCAAAAGCTTTCAAACTCCTGGAGTGAAGGGAGTTGGGCTTTCCGAACGGAAGATATTGCCGAAGACTCTCCGTCACTGGAAGTGCGCCACGAAGCCATGAAGCGAGTTTTTCAATTCCTCGATCATCAAAATGATGGACAAACCACCCGCTTGGACTCAAGGACCCCTGATGGTGATAAAGCTGCAATCGGAGGATCTGACAAAGAGGGAAACGAAGAATTTTACGCCAGACTTCAAGAGGCAGTCGAGAAAAGAGTGTCAAGTAATCTGACGAGGTTGACAAATCCTAATTTGGCTACGGTTGACGTCTTAGGCATTCCGAAAGATACTACGCCGAAGTCAGCTCCTTCTGGGGAAGACAGTACAGCGGGAAAGCATTACTATTTTCCTGAACTCCGCAGTTTGATCGAAGACAGATTGGAAGAAACCAAAGTTGAAACATTGTCCAACCGCTTGGAGCGAGAGCTGTCGCGGAGGCAGCAACTCTGCAACGAACAGGCCTTGATGCTGCAGTTGTTGATGAATCGGATTCAAGAATTGGAGAAGCGGCAGCCTAAGCGTGGACCATCTGCTTCTGGGAATGGATGGGCCCGTCAACCCCGTCCAAATCAAGGTTTCTACTGCTACACCAGCAACTACGTCGTTGAGAAGGCGACCCAGACGCCGAGTGACCTTCACGATGNGAATGGATGGGCCCGTCAACCCCGTCCAAATCAAGGTTTCTACTGCTACACCAGCAACTACGTCGTTGAGAAGGCGACCCAGACGCCGAGTGACCTTCACGATGCAGAAGGGGTGTATGTCATGGTAGCTAGGAATTCAGGAGCAAAGGCCAAGAAGGTACAGAAAAGGTTTGCGTACGGCTATCCTGAGCGAGTCACCGAAGAAAAAGAGGTATCGTCGATTTTAAACAGAAAAGTTGTCACGCAGCATATCGAGTTTCTGCCTCCCATTCCTGATCCGTATGCCAAGAAAAGACCCCGAGATGCCAAGAAACCTGGATGGCACACCATGTAAGAATGAATTCTTGAAAAGGAAAAATATGCCACCCATGGTTTCTTTACATTTTCCAAAAGATCCGGAGTAAAGTACAAAAACACCTGCATACAATTCCGTCCAAGCTATAGGTGCTACATCGTAAATAGGCTTCAGTTAAATCTAGACACGTAAATGAATATGCACATGAGAGTCTTGTCAAAATTAAGTTTAGTCAAGCACCAGCGAAAAATGTGAAGAAGGGAAAAAATCAATATCAATTAAGATCAAATTTAAAAGTATGCAAGGGCTATGAGTAATTAATTTCCATGGACGCTTTCACCAGAAGGGACTGAAGAAACACATTTTTAAGTTTTAAATTCACGTGGAAAAACTGTTTCCAGAACGACTAAAAATGTTCACAAACATTATATCGATGTTTAAGATAAATTCTGGTATTTTTTGTTAACGTTTTCTTTTTTTTTTTCTTTTTCTCTTTTTTTTTGTAAATAATATTAGAAATCTTCTAGATGGGTGAATAGACAAGAAATGTTTGCAGTAAGACACTCTGATCCAGTTTACTGTTAATACAAACTTCGTGGCACTCAGATGGAAATTTCAAAACGTATAAAAATATATTTGCCAAACTGTGTAGGGTCAAAATAACACTAGGGGAGCAACATTGAGGGAAACAAAAAGCTTATGGTATATACATAGATAATGCTAGGTCAGCCAGTCTGTTGTACAGGAACAGAAATAAGTTTCTATTATTTAAAATGTAAAAGTAATGAAAAAATAAACAATACACACAATATGTGATCTCATGGAGTCTTGTAAAGTAATGTCAAAATGCACGAAAATTAGTTTGCCAAAACAAACAAAATGCAAAAAATGTATATTTGTTAACAATAACCGACATTTTCAAGCAAAAAAAATTCAAAGGAAGTACTTTTAGACAGTGGAAATTTATATATTAGCGTCAAATTCAGTAACGTAGCGACCATTCATTACAGATAAGAAGACTTATTCCATTCGTTTGCAATAAGCTTGTGTCAATTATGCTTGGCGTTTTTTTTTTTTCCTTCTTCCTCAGTCTTCTTCTTCTACTTCTTATTTTTGTTTGTTTTGTTTTGTTTTTGTTTTTTTTTGAATGGAATTTTATTAACAACTTGAACACTTACACTACTTACATTACTGATGTTATAATTACATTTACACTTACAATATACTTGCTACTTATACTACTTAAACTTACACTACTTATACAATTTTTTTTTCTTAAGTGTTTAAAAGAAACAATTCCTCAAAAATTCTCCATTTTTTCTTAAACAGATTGATGTTATTCGATTCAAAGGAAATATACTTTTCGGTTTGATATTT